TGCATGGTGCCTGGCTCTGGCAGGCCTGTGACCCGCCAGGACTGCTGCTCATGGGGGTGGGGGAGGCGCCAGCCACCGCTCCCTGCTCCTTCGGGCGAGGGGGGAACGGCTCCCATGGGGCGGGTCCCTGGGTGCCTGTGCATCCCCAAGCCCCTGGCTGCTTTCCTTAACCGCCTGCAACTGTCCCTCATCCCGGCCACCTGAGCCACAGGATGGACTGTGTGCGCTGCTGGTACCCTGTTCGCCACGGCCGGCATCCTGGCTCGACTGCTTGTTAACATTTGAAATTGTGCAAAGTCTGAACACGGCCCCTGGCTCCGCCTGCCCCCTTTGGTTACCCGGACCACACGTGCCTTTCTTACTCAAACCCTACCTGAGCGGGGCTCCCATCCCTGGGCACCAGAGGAGCCCTGTGCCCTGCTGGCCACCCCGTCCCGTCCCCCTGTGCCTCCCGCCCCTCGGCCCGGGGATGACCCCGCCCGGCCCTGTGCTGCTCACCCAGGGCCCAGGCCAGCGTGACCCGGCCGCGGTAGAGGGCGGTGAAGGTCAGGAACACGGCTGCCATGTAGAACACGATATCTCTGCGGAAGGGCCTGGAGGCGGCCGTGAAGGGGCGCAGGATGGCGATGCCGCCCGCCACCACGGTGGTCACCAGCACGCCGGCGCCTGGAGGAGAGGCCGAGCGCTCAGCCCCCCGGCACCTCCCCCGCCTGCCCCACCGCCCGCAGCCAGGGCCGCTCCTACCGAACAGGGCCCCGAAGGCCAGGCCGGCCGTGTGTGGGTCCGAGAAGGCCACCAGGGCGCTGAAGATATCGGGCGCACCATTGCCAAACGCCAGGAAGGTGACGCCATGGGGGAGCGTGTCAAGGGGGGTCAGTGCAGAGGCACCAGCCTGCCAGGCCTCTCCTGGGGCTGCCACCCGTGTCCCCGCCCCCCTGTCCCCCCGCCCCCCGCCAGGGCGCAGGACCCAAAGGATACTGCCACATTGTGGGACAGCTTGAGCGTCGTAGAAATCGCTGACAAGTTCGGGCAGAAACTGCGGAGAAACAGCCAATAGTGTGAGGACGCCACAGTGAGGGACCCCCTGCACCCACCCTCCCCGCAAACCTGGGGTCGCCCCAAGGTCAGCCTCCCAAGACCCCTGAGCCCAAGGCCAACTCACAACTTCTCCGCAGTGACCCCCAGAATCAGAAAGAGGTAGAGCAGCCAGAAAGCCTGGGTGGAGCCGGAGAGGGAAAGGTTAAGTCGAGCCTGGGCCACCAGCCCCGCCCACCAGCCCCGCCCACCAGCTCCCCAGCAGCTCCCCAGCAGGGCCTCACATAGAGGGTGATGGCCAGAGGGAGGAGGCTGTGGGGGAAGTGGCAGAAGATGCCTTCCAGGTAGTCCAGGTAGCCTCCCTCGCTGCGGCAGTCAGGGTTGGTCCGGACGAAGTCACAGCGGTCAGAAGCGTTCAGGCCACACACGTCACGACACTGCAGGGGGTGGGGGGGGGACTCAGAGGTCCACACGCCAAGGATGGCCAGACCGGGCCCACCTACACAGCTAAGATGACCCCCTTCAGCCTGCTCTCTCCTGCACACTGTAATCTTCTACACTAATAAAAGACAAAGATGGTAATTGACCATAACTTTGCTATGCCCAAGCCATGCCCACCAGCCAATCAGAGCAGAGCAAATATGCAAATTAACCCAACCAAGATGGCGGC